CAGAAAGAAATACTCAAATAACTCTAATTTTGGGGGGTAAACATTTAAACTGCTTTACTTTTATCTACTAACTAAACTTATAGGTTATCAATTCCTATAGATTCAAAATTTGTATTTTGAACTGTTGACCCTACCCCCCATGTGACTGTATTGGAAAATGATAAAGGCTAAATGAAGTCATATGAGGGGACCCCTGATCTCATAACTGGTATTCTTATAAGAGAGGGACAACAGAGATCTCCATTTCTCTACAAAGCAGCCTGGAAGAAAGTGGTCATTAGAACCTGACCAAACTGGTGTCTTGGACTTTCAGTCTCCAAGATTATAAGAAAAATGCATTCCTGTTGTTTATGCCATCCAGTCTATGGTGCCTTGGTATAATTATCTGAGGCAGAATAATATAACAATGTTGATTAGGAATTTAAGAAATTATGTATCAAGGGGAAATTATCTTCATTTATTACACACACATACACAAACACAAAGGATCCAGAGCCAAGGGAGTAAATTAGCTTAATGGAGGCATAGGAGTAGATGGAGACCATAGGAAGCTATCTCTACCCAGGGCATTAACCTTGAAAAATAAGTAAGATCTGTGTGAGCCAAATGAAATGCATTTATAGCTGGAAGGGAAAAGAGACAAGAGTTTTGAACTTTTCATTAGATCTTAAATTATTCTGTAAAAATTCAAGAAGTAATGGCATTGAGGAGTCTTTAAGCAAGATGTTAACAATGACCAAAAAAAATATTCCATCTTTCAGAATGATATTAATACAGTAATTACTTGCAGGTAGTTTGAGATTTTTTATTGGAAATTTGCAACTGAAAATTCATTCAATTTGCATAGCTGACCAAACAAAAATATTTTACATCCCATATAATAGGTTGTAGTAATTTATCAGTGAAATGTGACTTGCCCTATTCCTGTAGATATTCCAGTTGTTCTGAAGGACACTTAGCCAATTTACAGGTCACCTAGTTAAGTAATACTAAAATTAGAAACATTTTTGGAAATATCCAGTTGCCCTCCACTTCACTGTGAAATCATATATGGATTAATCAGTTAAATGTGGTCTCAGACCAATACCTCAGTAACACTTAATAGTTTGACATAGGGAGAATTCAGGTGCTACCTCAGACCTACTGAATTAGAATTTTGTTTTCACAGGAATTCCAAATAATCTGTGTGTACCTTCAGGTTTGAGAATTTTTTTGATGTCTTGACTGACATCAAAATATGATGTTGCCATTAGAGAACTGCATGAAATCTAAAGCAAAAAATTTTGTTTCAGTTACCTCCTGTTTGAATTATAATTGCCTGTGATAAGCTCTGAGATGAATTGTTCTACTCTTTTGTATAAATTTCAGGATCAGCTTATCAAATTCTATAATATACTCTTTTGGAGTTTTGACTGAAATTTCTTTGAATTTGTGGAGAATTACGTGATACTATTGTATTCTTAAACACAGGTATTTCTTCATTTATTTAGGGCTCATGTATGTTTTCTAAGTTTTCAACACAGATTTATAGTTTTCCATTAAAAAATTTTATCTCCTCATATTCCTTAACTTATTAGTATCTCAGAAGAATGAATGGTAGAATTCTTACTCTCCAAGGTTTGCATTTTAATATAAAAAAAAAAGTCTTGGTACTAGAGCTAGAAATCCAAGGCTGGAATCCTTATTCTGTTGTTTACCTTTTTAGCATAAATAAATATGGTGTCTTCATTTTTTCAGTTAGCCATAATATTTACTTTCCATAGTTTTAGAATATCAGTTGTAAAATACATGTAAATGAAGAAAACATAAAATTCTAAGTAAATGTAAGTTGAAGAGAGTATAGCCATTGGTACAACTTGGTCAGGATCTGTCTACACAAATGTGTCTGAACACAATTTTGGGAAAACTTTACCTCAGCTACTCAAATCTTTCTCAACTATTGAATGTGTGAAATACAAATGTATAGCCAGAAAGGATCATTGGGATCTGTGTTAAATTGGAAAGTGCATCCCTCACCAAGGAACTCAGGTTTAATACAAAAATAAAAATAGACCAGTCTACCAATTCCCAATATTTCATATAAAACAATTGATTGGATATGTAAGATTTGTGTTATAATAGTATGAACCCATAATTTTCAAAATTTAATGTATAAAGATTCAGTTGAGGTGTTTGCAAAAATGTAGATTTTTTTCCCTTTGTGAGTTGCCAGAAAATCTGACAGACTAGATCGAAGATCTATATGTATTTTTAAAGAACTTTGTAATTGTCAGAATTGCTTTTGATGTTGCCAGTCTATAAAGTATTTGTGGAAAGTTGTGCTAAGCCAATAAAATCCACCCACAGGAGAATTTTATAAGTTCATCAATATCAAATACAATAATAAAATTTCAATTATTATGCTTTGTCTTTTTTTAAAAAAAGATTTGAACAATTTTATTTCTTAGTGGGCAATAGTACTAGCAATAGCAATAGTGTTTTACAAATAAAATAACTTGAATATTTAGGTATCATACTTAAGATTAGTCAGATAGAAATGGCAAACAAGAAGTTAAACTTAGATCTGTATGATTCTAGAGTACAGGCTGTCAATCACTAATACTTAGGTGACCCATGAAGAAATTCTCACATGAGAGTCTGAACCCATCACCTCCTTATCCTCCTCCTCAGGCCTGTATTATTTCTATGGTTTCCTATCTTATTGTACCAGGGTCTACCTGGATGTCTAATTTAGTAAGCTTGGATTCATTCTCATTGTTTCTTCTCCCTAAGTACATATATTAAGTGAGATGCTTAGATTGATGGGTTTACTTTCCAAACTTCTTTCTGACTTATATGCTTTTCTCTATGCAATATCTCTGTCTAGTTCAAGCCTTACAAACTTGATTGGGATATTCTTTTCATAAGTGCCTGAAACCAAATCTCATACTAATAGTCTAGCCAGTAGGATGATAGTCAAGTTGATTTCCTTTGGAAATACCTAATCTTTTATAGAAAAAAATATCTTATGTCTTAGTAGAAAACATTTGTGCTTGCATAGCCACAAAATATCTCTGGAAGTTTATATGAGGAACTATCATTGGTTGCCTATAAGGAAGAGAACTAGGTCTTGGAAGACAGTGTCAGGGGACATAAGGCTTTTGCCATACATCATTTTTCTAGTTATTAAGTTTTGAAGCATGTAAATACATCAAACATTTTAAAAGAAACTAAGAATTCATTAACTAAATGAAACAATATGATGTCAGAGATTCATAAAGCAAATCAAAATACAGCTAGAATTTAAAAAGGAAGAAAGGAAAAGTGTTAGGGAGAGAGGAAGGAAGGAAAAGGGTAACTTAAAAAAAGAATAGAAATTGTTGATAATGTATCTTCAGATCGCTTTTATTGGAAGTTTATAAATGCTTTGCAATGAGGCTTTAAAAATAAAAAAAATAACCCAAGTTTTGTTTACAAGGCACTTAATGATCTGTCCTCTGAATGCCTGTCTATCAACTCTGGAGTTCTCTCAATTCTCTTCTATCTTTCTTCTCTACAAGTTGAACTTCTCATACCTCTTTGGACTAATTCTTTTTTTTCTCATCTCTCTGCTTTGCATATGCCAATCTTTCTGTCTATGATGGTCCTCCCTTCATGGCCTGCTTGATGAACTCCAGTTCTTGGGACTTATGCTCTGGAGTCACCTCTGCTGAGAAGACATTCCTGGAGTCCTCCTTATAACTTCCAAACAAATCTATGCCTTCTCTCCCCTAAACTTTCACAGTACTTTAAACTGACCTAGGTTTTTGGTTCTCATTATATTGTAATAACCAGCACAACTCTTAGAACCCAGAAATTAAGTACCATCCTTGTGCTTTACTAGAGTCTGCTGGAATATCCTCTGGGTTCATCATGTCACAGAGCTAGGGATTTGTGGGACAGAGCATTACATCTGGAATCTTCTCTTACACACTCTAGATTGTGGGCTCCTGAGATTTTTCCCCCACTAGCTGTTTGGGCCTCTTTCTGGATGAACCCTCATCAGTATGATCACCCCTTGCTTTGTGGAGTGGTCCAATTCAGTGCACAGCTGCCAGACAGAGTGGACAGAACTTGTGGAAGCAGACTAGGATGGACACTGTGCACACAGAAGGTCCTTTTCAGTGTGAGACAGAGCTAAAGATAGAAAACGGGCTGTGATCTAGGGGAGATCTCCATTTCGTCATTCACACTCTTGCAAAAGGTGCACTTGGCTTTATTTATTTATTTATGTTTTAATGTTTGTAAACTAAGTCTTTTTATGGCAGGAATTCTTTCTATTAATTGATGAACCCCCAATACATTGAGCAATATCTAACACATTCCCATGTTTAGGATTTAAAAGTAATAGCTGAATGAATGAGTGAAAGAACGAGATGTAAACATGACTTGATCCCCATCAAAATTCCCTCCTTTAATTTTGCTGTTCTTAAAACATCAGATTTTGAAAAATTATTAGCACTATTAACCACCAGTTAGACGTAGTACTTTTAAAATAAGTATAATTTCTTCCTTACAGCAACCCTAGAATGTCAGTATTATTCTTATCTCATCTTAGAGATGACAAAATTCATGAACAGTTAATTTAATGTTTCAAATTTAGAAAATTTGTAAATGGTGGAGTCCAAATTTGTACCCTAAAATTCTATCACCAAATTAACAGAACTCTGAGAAAACTGTAAGAACTATAAGGCATATAATTTGGCCATTTGTCATCATGTTTTCTGGCTTGACTTTCAGGGCAGTAAGTTGGTCATCCTTCTGGAAGCTGAAAGTCACCAATATAGAATCCTGAGGGGAAATTTACAGTTTCTAAAAAGCATTGAATTGAAATTTCAGAAGCAATAAATTACAGCTTATATATGCTAAATTGTGACAGACAATATTGGATTTTTTTGTTATTTTGTTACTATTTTATTTCATTCTTCCACATTGTATCTTATGTACAACAGAGATTTTTATTAAAAAAATTAAGTACTTGCCTTCAAGAGTAGGTGATGGCAGAGAAGAACTGGAAGCTTGTACTGTCAGTGATGGAGGGGGGATGGCTGGGCTTTGTCCTGTGTATGCAATGCAGGAGTAGATGTTGAAAAGAAAACTGTTAACAAATCTAATATTCATTCCTAAAGTAGCTAAACCTGTCCCCTGCATGCATAATTCATAACCCTAGGTAAAAATTAATACTATTATGCAATAAGAAAACTGTTATTAGGTAAGATCTTCAAGATGATACTTTCATAGATTCAGTTATCTTCAGAGCTATTTCTGAATACATTATTTTTCATTGATATATATACAGTGTCAAATATCTCTACTGGATTTTATTAATGGCAAGCCACATGTGATCAAATAAAGCAATTTATTTTCAATATGCACTTTAAATTGTATAAACTGAAATCACAGAAGCTGAGGGGAATCCTAATACACAGAAAATCATCATTTTCTCATTGAACAAAAAATTCTCAAAAGATATATTAAAGCAATAAAATAAGATGAAATTCACAGATATTTTGATATTGAACAGGTATATTTTCTCCTGCCAAAACAAATGACCTGTAGTTAAGTAAATAATGAGGCAAAGGGAAAATATATTCAGCTTTTTAGAACCTTGAAAGATTCCCTCAAGTCCTGTATTTTTTATGAAGTATATAAAAACACCCTGAGATAATTTCTGAGTACTTTCTTATCCCCAATGAGTTCTTCAATTAACCAATACCAGTAGGGCCATAGACTATTCACATGATCTCATTTGAAATTCTTACAAAATGTTTTATCATTAATTTTCTTTCCACAAACTCCTTCTGTATATTTTTGATGCAGAAATCAACGTGGGCAAGTGTACCTTTTAAAACCTCACTGACAACTAGAAATTATCAAATGCTGGCAGATCTGGCTGCTTACTGGAAGTTTTTCATTTTTAGAATTCTTCAAAATTAGTTCTCGGTGACAAATTATGGTTTAACAAGCAGAACAATCATAGATACACATACACCACATTCCAGTCCTTGGGTCTCATGTCAATTATTACTTAGTTTTTATTCATTACAGAATTTTCTTGTACTTTTTGTACTCATGCAGGCTGACTCAAAGTATGTTCAAGTTGGCATAAAAACAAAGCACATTGTTGCATATCATAAGACCACAGACCTAGAAATATATAATTCTATATTATATTTTTCGTCATGGGAAAAAATACTTGATAGAAACATAGATAATATGGCAGTTCTGTTTTAGTGAGCCAAGGTAAGACTGGGAAACACCAAAAGCAATCTTGACCCACAAGATTTTTCCTTAGGTAACATTTGTATGTGCTTACTGCATACCAAGAATGATTAAAACAATTTTCATGCATTCAAGCATTTAATCTTCACAAGCAGTTTAGGATGTAGGTATATTTCTCGCTGTGTAGATTTGAAAATCGAAGAAAATAGGAGACAGGCTATTCATTTCCTCAGAAGTGGAGCTGGATTTCGATGTAGGCTTTAGAGTTATGATTAAAGCTGCTCTCAGGCAGCCTAAGGCTGGCAGAAGTGTCACATTCTGTAAGAGTCCACAACTGCAGCTGAGGAAGGAGGGACAGAGGACTGAAGTTTCCTCCCTAGGTTTCCACTTTCTTTGTGGGTCAAAGGGATGTATCCCTGGAAATATCTGTTGCTAAGCCTTGCTTAAAAAAAAATTCTAAGGTAGGATGGTGTTTTGTAGCTTTTAAAACCAGAGAAAAATAAAAAGTGAACTAAGTGACAAAATCTTAAAATACAAGGGGCCATGAATATAAATAAATTGCTTCTATATACATAGTAGAAACTGTCTCCAGAGAATGGGGTCTGTGGAATCTAGGCTGCTTTCCACCCTGCCATATACTTCTGTGAACAGCAGTAGCTGTATAAGCATAGTTCTTTATAATTTTGATGTGCTCTCCAGGAATTTATTACAAAATATATGACATTCCCTGGAATTACACATAATCTACCTTATAAAATATTCTTTAGTTTATGTAGAAGAACTATAAAGTCATTATTTTATTATAAGAAAAACTTTATTGAGCACTTACTGTACACCAATACTGAAGAACCATTCAGGAAGTTCCCAATATCCTGGCTCTAGCAGACTTAGAGACAGATCATTATATCACTGTATGATGGGACAAAATAATATATGCAGAGTGGACAGTGCAGAAAGATTCCGGGAGGAAATTCACTTAAATGCCTAAAATGAGTTTTCCCAGTAAAGACAAGGGAGGGATTCCAGGTAGAAAGTAGCAGGTGAACCAAAGGCCCACACGCCAAAATATCTAGAGAATACTGGTCCTTCATCATAAACTGAAATATCCAGTTCATGTCAGAAACTTTCCACAGTTGTAATCAACTTTATTATACTCTGAAAAGTGGAAGACTACATGGTAGAGAGGCATTGAATGCAACAAGACAGTGAGACCCCAAGAAAAAAGGAGGAAGCCAGATGGTTGCTGCCTCCATTGCAACAGTACTAGGCAGACCTGACAGGAATTATTAAGCAAGCACATGCTCTTGATGTGCTAGAAGGCTCCAAAGAAAATCAGGCAGGTCATACTTGAGCATGATGCATGACTTCGGTATGGACTTAGAGAAAACCTCTTTTTATGTTCATACAATGTGAGAGAATCCATTTGAAATCAGAGACCGTTTTGCTATGTGGATGAACACATTATACATTATACAGAGCATCACATAATATTTAAGGTGGAATATTATATTTAAAATACAAGCAGAGTTGGATGCAAGTGAGAGTTTGAACTCCATCGCTTACAAGTCGTGTAAACTTAAAAATCTCATGACTTCTCCAGGCTTTAGTTAGGGACTTTGTAAAATGAGGATAGATTTTAGCGGTGTTATAAGGATTAAGTGATGAATCACCTAATGCATAGTAGATACTCAAAATATTAATTCTTTCTCCAATAGTGTATTTATAGTTTAAATCCCATCTAATTACACAAGGAGATTTGAAGCTGTCTTTTGAAGTAAGAAAACAAAAAACAAAGATAAAATTGAATATGACAGAAATAGAATTCATTTACAGGAGAAAGGCTTATAATTTTATTAAGAATTATATTCCTTTAGAGTTCCTGAGAATTGTTCTCTCTGAAGAAAAGATTCAGGGTGCTGAAATTTACATTGTCACTCTAAAAGATGCCCTTCATTTTACAAGTCATTACCTGCAAATCCCTCTGCCATTAGAACATGGTGATTTGGCTTTATTTCTGCTTCTTGAGTGATTTTGGTTGGCTTATTTCCGTAAGTCCTTGAATGGTATGTTTGTAAGCTGCCAATAATTTTTTGTTTTCATTTTTTTCTTAAATGAATCAATTTGGTTGTTTTTTGGTTTAGTCAAATTCTATAGGGGATAGTATGCAGTGTGCATTCCAGAAAGTGATTGACATTTTTTTTTACTAAAATGATGAATGGAATTATTCAGACTCTCACATTAAGAAGGAATGTGAGAAATCAGGAGCTGAATTCAGATTGCATGAAGGAAAAAACAATTCATGAAACTGAAGTTTAATATGTCTGGTTTCCTTGTGAATGAGATTTTCTGGTTGAAACCATTTCTACAAAACTGAAGTTACCCTCCATCTCATGACAAATGTGGAGTATATTTTTTTCTCTAATGTCTGGTAGAGATTTTATTCTATAGGTCCTCACTGCTTTTCCCTAGAAATTTCAAGAGTTATACCTAGAGAAGTAGAAAAGCTTTGGAAAGACCTCCAATCCTGCAAATACTGGATGGCAATGGATCCTGGAATGGGGAAAATGTGAGGATCTCTCGTAAGTGATCATTGAGCTAAAATTAATTTACATTTTAGAAAATACAAGTTGTGGAATTATTATAAATTAATATCACAACCTTTTTTTCTGATACTGTAAGTAAGAATATGTGAATTTAGTAATAAAGTGATAATCAAGTTCATTAAAGCAATAATATTTCTTACACATGGGCACAAGATTCCTGAACTATTTTGTAGTGTGCAGAATATTTTTAAAGTTTAAAGTTAACATATAATAAAATAAAATGAAAATATGTTTTTATATTTTAGGCAAAGAACTGTGATTATACTAGGGCCATATATTAATAAGGGCACCTTTGTTATTCTCATTTCTCTCTCTCTAGAGATGACTGCTTTCAGTCTATTGAAAGTGCACTCCTTACCTAATACACTTTACTGTCATTTTCACTACATTTTTGCCTTGTATCTGAAAAGAAAAAGGGACACCTTGACCTTCAAACTTCCTTACCGTCTCCATCTCCTGCTTTGTACTCTTAGACCACTTAACAAATGGAAGGAAGAGACCATAGAATACAGGGTGCCTATCACTACTCCCCCCCATTTATCAAAAACCTGAATTGCCACTCATAAAATAATTTTTTATTTCCAAAGCTGCTGATTAAATATACTGTTTGTGTGTGTTGGGCAGGTGAAAGGGGCTTTTACTTCAAAAATAGGCATCATTATATCTCACACTCATGTATTGTTGAATTTACATGTATACGTTGCATTTCTTATCCTCCCTTTTCTGCTCCCTGAGAACCTCTCAACCCCAAGGGTGACTCTATAGTCCTCTACAAAGAAAACTATAGCTATGTGCAGGAGGCATGCATGAAAATGAGGGGATGGAGAGACAAGACAGAAAACCAGAAAATGAAAGATACAGACTAAAAAAGACAGACTCATGGAGAGACAGATCCAGTGGGAAAATGTCTGGAAAAAAAATGCAAGAAAGCTCCCAACTTCACAACTTCTCTCTTGTCCTATTCCAGAACAGTGCAATCTCAGAATTTCTTTGACCAATCTCTTGGTTTTCTAAATCTAATAGATTGCTGCTTCACTCAGTTGCAGGCCATTTAATACTAGAGGTATGTTTTAAAAGTTTATCTCAACCTCACAATATCTCATTCTGTATATAAGTTACACAGGTCTAGGGCTTGAAATGTCAGGTATCTACTGCAAATTCTCATCTATTTGTAAAAATTTTTCCTGTGTATTTCTTGAGTAGTTAGTTATCCTATGACACACATAGGGCTTGCA